CAAGGATTTAGAAAACCAGAACATTTTGCCTCTGAACTCTATGTGTGGAGAGATTTCATTGGTTAAATGAAGTTCCTAGGAGTGCTTACTCAAGAACATGGAGGCCGCTGGCAGCCCATGGCCTTCCTATCAAAGGTCCTAGATCCCAGGGAAAGAAGGGGAAGGAAAGGGAGGAGGGAGAGGAAGTAGAGGAGGGGGAGGAGGGGGAGTAGAGGGAGGTACTATTACATCCTAGGTACTATTACATCCTCTCTGCAAAATGTTATTTTATGTGGATTCATTCATTTATTTATCTTACCCAGCTATTTTTGATAACTACAAGCATACTAGGACTCGGTGAGAATTAAAAGTTGTACAAAAGAGAGAGAGAGAGAGAGATGTTAAACACATCTCTCATTTCTGAAACTTGAAACTTGCATCCTAGTAGGAAAGATTTGACAAGTAATGCAAATTAAATGTCTCATTCACCATTCTATTCACAGTAACTGACAAATGATACTCAATGGAATGATCTTCCCAATAAGATTGTAATGCTCTTGACTTAAAGACTGTCTCATATCCATTCTCAACATGCACACAATTTTCATTCATAACTAAAGATAAAAATTCATTAATTGAACTAGGCAGCCTACTAATTTAAAATATTCTACACATGTCAGTAAATCAACCAATCAATTAAACATTTAAGATATCTTAAATGCAATTTAACAAAATTTATTTCTGATAATTTTAATAATGCCCTTTAAATACCAAATATTTCTGAGGAATGTCATATCTAAATAAATGCAGTTGTAATTTAGTAGTGTGTTATTGTAGCTATAGTTATTGTGAAATTCAAATGGCATTTAGTGATAACAAACAAGTAACTCTTGTTCTAATATATAAATACGTTGTTTATAGGTATCTTGAACTTAAATTCCTTCCAGTACCCTAAGTAATCAAAATAATGATCCAAACTTCTGAAATTAGATTGGAACTTAGGTTGGTGCTTACTTTGACTAATTACGTCTTTTAAATTTTCCAAGGAATATAAAGATCACACATGAAAGATAATTCATGAGAAAAATAAGTATGATAATTTGTCACTTGCTTGTTTTCCTAAAACCAAGCTATCCTAATAGTTGAGGGAGTTAAATGAGTTAGATGATAAAAATATTCTATAGCATCCTAACAGTTTTGTCTGCATTATCATATTTGATCCTGTGAGTAAGACAGGGAAATCAATCATCCCTCTTTTCCTTCCCTCCTTTCTTATATTATCCTCATGAGAAAATATTTTTAGAATTTTTGATAAACGTAATCACAGAAGCATGAATAAGTAAATCCCACCTGATAAAATAGCAGTGCTAGTAGCATTTCTGGGTCTATCTGATTATTTTAGTGCAGAGTTGGGCATCCCTAACTCAGAATATTATATCCCTAACTCAATTATAAGGGAGGGTTATCATAGGTCAGGGCTCGTCATGAACAGGCCATGCAATCAAATGAGATGAAAGATCAAGTTATGTTGATATATGAAAAAGGCCTAAGAGTAAACTGATATCAGCTTACACCATGTCAGAATTAGCAGTTTGAATGTAAGAAGTCAATCATTACATTTTATGAGATAGGAAGGGAATAGGTCCCCTGAAAAATCAGGAGTCCTCTACTGCCCTAGATATGAGATAACATTGATCAGAAGTGGTTTAGGACTTGGGTAGCTCTCAGGGAGCTGGCTCTTGTTCTGTTATTAATAAAAGCCATACTGAATAAACATACACCTACGTTTATATTTATGTATACATTCAGACAGAAAATCTCAGAAGAGTCTGGTTGCCTGTTTTTTTCTGATAGCTTAATCTTTATGAAACAGAACCTTCTTCACTCAGATGAAGAGCATTTAGTCTCTACATCCACATCTAGGAGAGAAAGCCAGGTTATTTTGTGTAGTCTGGAAGTTTCACAGGGGTACACACTGATTAGAAGGCCTGATTGCAGCAGAGGAACTCTGTCTTCTGCAACACTAGATGACTCATGCCCCAGAGGTACCAACTCATTGAACCAAAAATAGAACCCAGGCATGTAATGTTTAGGACCATGAATTCTCAAGATAGCTGCCTTCTGGCATTGAATTAACTAGGGTGCTACTCATTTTTACAGTAACAATAAATGGGAGAACAGATTATAACTTATTTTTTGTAACAAATATGAGATTGTTACACCATTAAATTGTGCCTTGTCTTTCGATCAATTAAATTCATAATTTACTTTAATATGCTAGAACCCTATTGCAGAAGATGGCAAAACTCATCAAATCTATTTTATTTTCCACCAGAGCATATAGGTGGACTACATTTTCCGACCTCCTTTGGAATTAGGTACAGTCATGTGACCAATTTTAAACCAGTAGAATTTTTCATGAAAGTGGTATATTCTACTTCCAGGCCTGGTTCATGTACTCTCCTGTGCAAACTTCCATGATTTCTTTTCTATTTTATCTGCCAGTCAGATTAAGGGAGTCAGTGGAACACTCCAAGACTCTAGACTTTAACAAAGTCATTATATGGATAAAGCCTGGAACCCTAAATAATTGCATGAAGAAGAGACAACCTTTCACCCAAGAAAACTCATTTATTATAACATAAATGAGAAATAAATATTTATTTTGGTAAGTAATCAAAATGTGGAGCTATCATAGAAATTAGCCACTGTGGCTAATGTTATATGGCTTAATAGATATTTTTGAATATGATATATATGATCAAATCACATTTATATGAAAGTGCAGGTCTCAGCTATGAGCCATGACACTTGAGTTTTAATAAACCAAATGTTTTGCATACATAATATGCTTTAGTGACCTGCATTTTGAAATAATCTTCTTGATTAAGAGATTAAGACTCAACCTACTGTTTACAAGTGTCACCCCTTAATGTTGCTTAAAGATGATAATGATTAGGGTAATGAACGATGATGATGCTAATATCTATAATAACTTACTTAATTTATAGTCCTTATTAGTAATATATTTAATTTATTTAATTGTCTCACTCTTTCTCAGACATATTTAAGTGATTGCTATTATTCCCATTTTAAAGGTATTGAAACTAAAAATCCATAATAATGTTAGCTAGCTAATCAAAAACAGGAAAATTCAAATTCAGATCTTCAGATTATTGACCTTGTGGTCCATACTTTACCAATACCATACAATTATTTAAGCAGAACCTGTCATAAAATTATGGATGTGAGTCAAACTTCAGTGAGGTCTTTGAGTACGTAACTTCATAGAATTTACTGTAAAAATTGGTTCTGCAGCTTAAAAGATTTCTGTTTAATGATGTCATTACCATATAGCCAGGACATGATACTGCATTTAAGAGACGTAAAGTAGTCACTTAAATATTTACTGCTTTGGGCTTCATATCTATTACTAATAGAAGCTTTGAGATGAGGATTTAAATACTACCTTATATTTACTTGGCAAGCTCAGTCACAAAGCATTTCCACACAAGACATTCAGCAATTCTGAAATGGCTACTTCTTCCCAGACATTTGCATTTGGTCAAACTTCTTTCTTTCCGTGCTGTTTATGGCTGTAATTAGTGGCATAATATGAAGCATTGAAATGGGAAAGTTGCCAACTTTTCAAAACTTTTTCTAGAAGAAATATATTTTAGTAGGAATAATATATCCAAAAGTAATACTCAAAAAAGGGCCCTGAAAACTCTCTTCAGAAATGTCTGTGGGTGAGTATTTCTAAGGATTATGATTTGTAAGATGCAAAATTGATGGGCGGTTCAAAAAAGTTGGACCACGAATAGAGGAAGCCATTTCCGGCACAAGACTGTGTTGCCTAGGGTGCAGAATCATGAGGTACAAATGTGACATTTTGGTCTTCCTGTACTCTTTTCTTATTCTAAAAAGAGTTTCAAAAAACAAATGAGAATATGGTTATAAAAAACAATAAAATTTACCCATCTCAGAAAGTGTGTTTCCTTTACCTCTGAATAAAAATCTTAATATATGTGAAGCCTGTATTAACTGCTTTTAGTCCAATAACTGCAGCTGTACATATTATATAGTTATATGGTTTATAAAACATTTTCATATATAGCTTTTTAGTTTTGAAAAATTATGTTTGGCAGTAATTATGATACCTTCTTTTTTTAAAATTATGAGAACACAGATCCTTAGAAAGTTTTCATCTTCTCTGATAATTTTGATTTCCTTTTCAAAACTCACACTGCTCAGAGAAGTGTCCTGCTCACCCCTTTTTCCAATACTCATCATTCTTATAATCTGCACTAACTTTATTTAATTTAAATCACTGCAACTTGAATATGTGACTTTGAATATTACTCTAATTTATCTGACAAACTTTTCTGATCATTTTTTAAAATGTGGTATTTGTCAACTCTCACCATAGATGCCTTCAAGCTGCCAAAGATTTAACAAATGGCTCAAACATTTTTGTACATTTACCAATATTTCTCTTAAACCTATAAAAGCCAAATCCATCACACCACTGGCGGTGTTCACTCAGATCTAGTGGTAGCTCCTAAGGAGCTTATGGCCTGGTAAGGGAGATTGTATTTATTATAAAAAAGCTAGGAGTCTATTTTCCTTGACAAGGTCTTGGAAGCTCTGGAAACTTAAGTATGAATGTGACTGTTTTTCCCTTCTACGTAAGCAGCAAAGGTCATTCAAGCAGAGGAGATGGTGTGTTCAAAGGCATAGATGCGTGGAATGCCATGGCATCATTCTGTATCCAAGGTGTACCGGAAATGGCTGTCAGAATAGAGTTCAGTAGGCCTCAGATCATGGAGTATTGTTTGTGCTCTAACTGTTGTCCAATTGTTCATTCAAATGGATCAACTCCATGACAACTAAGATGCAGCTGCATCTAATTTTATCTCTAACACTTCATCTCTTTATCTATAGCTCTATCTAATATCAGTGTATTTTCCCATCATGTCTTCAACACTCATTTTGTTTTTCACCTTCTCTGGGAAGACATTCTTGACTGCTTCCATGCTGACTCTGTTCTCTCCTGCCACGTGCATTCAAGCACAGTGAACCTCCTTTTCTTCTGATTCCTTCCCATGTGCTTCTATGAAAGTATTACCAACACTGTAAGTATATTTATTTAGATATCTCTCTCTGCCACCTAAAGTGATAGTTCCTTGAGATGTCGGAGTGTCTTTTATTGTGTGTTTTGCCAGAGCCTTTAACAGTACATGATTCATTGGAGATCCTCAAGATACACATATGCATAGTGTTGAATTAATAAGACACTTCTTGACTGTAATTCAAAACAATGAACAAAGAGTGGTGAGATTCTAATTGTCGGGAATGTGAGTGTTTTCTGACTCACCTTTCTGACTCCTGTCATGTACTTAGAAGTAATGAGTACTAAGTGTTCATACTAACATTGCTTAGAGAATGAAAATTTTTTAGGCTTCCTCAGACTGCTAGAACATTCTCTGCAGGTGAACTCTACCTAGTTTAAGCTCAGGTTACGCAAGATTGTGAGGAAGTTGATAATAATAAAGGATTTTCAGGATGCCCAGAAGTGGCACAAAAATGATGACCCTTGAGTTGCTGTGCATGGCTTTAGTATATTTCTGAACTTGTCAGCAATGTAAGGTTACCCCCACCAGCTACAGTAAACAGAAACTCCTTTTTAAAATCAATGAAATTCAGAACTAAAAAGGGCTTTTAGACATCTACATTGGAAGATACCAACTTGAGCAGTATATTGACTTGGACTCTAAAGGTAGATTCTCCTGGGATATTGCACTTACTACTCAATCTTTCTTTGGACACTTCATGACCTTTAATTATCAGCTTGCATAAAGCCGAGATAACAGTAGTGACTAAATTATTATTCTTAGAACTAATCAAGATTTTGCAGATACAATGCCTACCTTCCAGTTGCACCTCTACCTATGCTCTTATTGTTATCATACAGAGTCAAGGGTGGGGACTAGAACCCAGATTGGCTGAGGTCACATTCCATTTCTGCCACTTACTGGTTGCATTATCTTAGATAAGTCACTCGATCTGTCTGGATTTCAATTTTCTCATCGCTAAACAGTGAAGAATAATAACTAACACAAAGAATTGCTTGAGAAAATTAAATTATATGGTGTGAAGAATTTAAACAGGGTCTATTCTATAATTAGTAAAGAGATAAATTTGAAAGGCTAGCATTAGGTCAAAGAAGTAACTGAATTTCATGCTTCACTTAACCTCTATAAGGCTCCGACAGTGTTTTTCTAATTCTTGTGGAGCTTTAGCCAACTAATGTTATTCCACCATTGCTACTGCTCATTCATTACCAATCCATTAATGATCATCCCAATGTAACTACAGAGTATATGTATCATTATTTATAATCATGATGAATATGGCAATCTCTGTTTTGCAGTCAACTTCTGAACAGTGATATGCTCACAACTTTGAAACTATATTAAATATTTTATAAAAGTTTGTTACATGTTCTTCTGACTTTATTTTAGATAGTGTTGAGGTATAAATCTGTTTTCCTTAAAATAAAATTATTTGACTGTAACAGACTCTCGCCAAATCTCCTATCTCATTATTCTATTTCATTCTCCAATAAGCAAGCTGACTTAAGATTACTCCTTTCTTTTGTCATAGGTCCAAGTATGCTGTTTTGCAACCAACATGATAACAAAAACCAAGCCCCAAAGGCCCTACTTACTGCTGTACATAGGTCGGTTATGGAATGTAGTGCATGAAGAGCATTTGCCTGCCTACAAATTGTTCAGACTCACATTAGCATGTCAATTTTACCATACATCTCTCTCAATCACTATAAAGTATGAGCTTCTTGAGGACAGAAATTCTATTTATTCATCCCTGCATCCTCATTTCCTGGCACAGAATATCACCCACAGTGCATATATTGAATGAATACATACAAACATGTGATCATTGGGTTACTAGTGCTCACTTTCTATTCTAAATCTATTATATATTTATAATATATATTATATATATTATATATACTATTATATTATATATTCTATTCAATATCTAAATAGATATCAAATTTTTATTTTAAAGTATATACTTCAAATTTAAAAATATATTTTTATATTTGATAAAATTTAAAATTTATACTCTAAAAGCTATAAATATATACTTCTTGATATATCTATTTGGTATATCAAAAGTATACATAAATTTTTTGTTCACTGGTAGATAACTATACAAAATCGAGATCGTATCTATATGAATCACTCTACAATTAATTATACATGGATTTTAGTATATTGTAGATTTGGGCTTTTTGTGGTTACTTTCAAGGGACCTTAGTAAATTTGGATTTTTAAAATCACATCATCAGGAGTAATCACTGCCTTCTTTACAGAAATGCAACGGCCTTAGAAATGTGTTAAAAATGGAAAATGCTTGCTTTGCTTTTATATAATACCTTTCATTATAAAGGACATTATTTTAAATACCTGTTATGCTTGGCTCCTTTGGGAGAAGTTGTGAGGTGGACTTGTTTATTGATTCTGCATTGTGTGGGAAACCCATTACATAACATTCATTTAAAAAGTCAGGTTTGTTGAGTTATAATTTATATAAAGTAAAAATCCAAGACGAGTTTGACAATGTAAATCATTGTATAACTACAATAACAAGTAAGACAGACAAAAAGTATATCACTCCCCAAATTTCCCTTGTGCCCCTTTTTAATCGGTCTCCTGTTCCTACTACCAGTCACTGGCAAATATGGATCTAATTTATTCCTAAGGTTTTGGTGTTTCAGGAATGTCATATAAAAGAAATAACACAACATATAGTCACTTGTCTGGCTTCTTCCACCAGATGTTCTAATGTGATCATTACTAGGCCTTATGAAGTAGATTTAAGTGACCTAACTTCTCTAAGCCAGGTTTTAATCCCCCAAATTTCATAAACTACAAGAGGCTAAAGAAGAGGATACTTTGGGGAAGATGTTGCTCTAATCTCATTACTTAAGTATCTGCTTGAACCCAGCAAATGCTGGCATGCTGGAACATAAATGGAAGTTCATTGAGTCAGCTCCGTTTGGTTTCAGAATCTTGGCATCTAGCTCAACATGCCCTTAAAAAAATTATTAAGGTAAGCAATTAATGGTTAGCCACCATGAAATGGTCCTAAGGCTCTAGTTGACCCTGCGTCTTAATCTGAGATTGAGTCAACACATTTATGCTTGCTTTAGCTGGAAAAAAAAAAAAAAAAAAAAAAAAAAAAAAGGTATGAGGTGGAAGTCTTAAGAAAAACACATGAGACATGGAAAATTAATCCTCAAAGTACAATAGTTATGAAGAAACTTCCTATACTGTAAATGAGGATGACACAATTATTTACCAGCCTAGGTATGTGCATCCTTCTCTGTCTGATAAGGGCCTAAGTCAAATATGTTCTGTTTTTATTTCTGAAGAAAATAAAATAAGGTGGCTGGGCATGGTGGCTCATGCCTACAATCCCAGCATTTTGGTAGACTGAGGTGGGCAAATCACTTGAGGTCAGGAGTTTGAAACCAGCCTGGCCAACATGGTGAGACCCCGTCTCTACTAAAAATGCAAAAAAAAAAAAAAATTAATTGGGCATGTTGACACATGCCTGTAGTACCAGCTACTCAGGGGGCTGAGGCAGGAGAATCACTTGAACTCAGGAGGCAGAGGTTGCAATGAACGAGATTGTGCCCAGCATGGGCAACAGAGTGAGACTCTGTCACCAATAATAATAATAATAAATTAAATAAAGACACATATTTGGAACTTTATACTATGAAAAAATAATTTTATGTATCTCAGCTCCAAAAGATGATTTTATATCTCAGCAAAGAGTATTGGAGTAATCCTATTATAACAAAATAACTGGGGGGGAAAAGGGGCATGTCTGGAGAAATTATTTAGACTCTAGAACAAAGACTTTCTTCAATAGTTAGTTTTACTTGATAGCTCTTATTGACTATACTATACTGGCCTGAGAGTAAAGGGTGTTTCAAGATGTAATCTGCTTCCTTGGAAATCAAAAGTATTTTTACTTGTGATTTTACTATTTGCTTTTACACACATTACTATATGCCCTGGCCATGGGACTGTTATACTTTCTAAGAGCTGGAAACTTTTAATATTTTATTAGCCTTAAATCAGATTGAGATTATGTGTGACTATGGAAACATGCTACTCTTGGAAGTGTTAAGAATTGAAAATCACACGCTCCCCTTTCCACTTTAACACAGAAGTTTCAGTGGTGTTAAACAAGTGAGTTTACTCCTTGCTAAGATGCAGTCTCCTTTTCTCAATTCACATATGGATGCTATCATTAAAAATTGAAAGAGATCCCTTCAAAAATAATTATTTTTTCTTGGTATCCAAACAATTGCCTTCACAAAATTGTTTGTGTTCTTTGAAAATGCAACCACACACTAACTCCTCTTAGTCAACTTGCTTCCTCTTACAAGGATGGACTCTCTCAGGTAACAGGCGATGCTGGCGGCCGGGCAGGGTGGCTCATGCCTGTAATCCCAGCACTTTGGGAGGCCGAGTTGGGCAGATCACCAGGTCAGGAGATCAAGACCATCCTGGCTAACATGGTGAAACCCTGTCTCTAAAAAAAAAGGAAACAAAAGAACAAAAAACAAAACAAAACAAACAGGTGATGCTGTTTGCTGAATCAGGAAGCAGATGATGAATCTGATAGATAAAACAACGAGGGATGTTCAGGTGGCTTTGCTGTGAGAGCAGTCCCGGTGAGGAAGGACATATTTCTGAGGTGTGACTGTTGTCTCCTGAGCACTGGTATGATATGATCACACTGAACAGTCCTGCAGTTGAGCTAATGGCTAATGTCCCATGCAACCCAAATCTCAACTGAGACTAATTCAGAATGTAGCAAGTTGTCAGCTGCTTCTTGGTTAACACATAAAATGCTTAGAGCCAAATCTCTGGCAAAAGTTCAAGAGTTCAATTTTCCTCAGTTATTGATGCTCACATGACTTTGCTTAACATATTCTAAATTAATTAGCTCTGAAGAATGACACTGGCCATAACCACAGCATAGTGGGTGTTTAGACTTTTATATCCATTAAACATAAAATTCAAAT